CGCAAAAGAGACATAAATCAATTCCTTCCCAGATTGATTGGATTTCACTGGTTGTTTCGACTTGTGGCATGTCAGGCCCCTTGACCCTTTGATTTCGTGCCGGCATTGAGCAAAGTTCAAGCAAATTCAATTTCACAGCATTCGATTTCTCGAATGGATTCTGATGCAGTTTCTCCTATTCGTTTCTAGTGTTTTGCAGGCACCAATGTTCTTGTTTCTGAACCTTTGTTTGCGTAGAATGTTGTCAGTACTTTTGCATATTGTAGTTTTCTGGGGAGAAGCAGCAAGATCAGCAAGGCGCTTGTGGCGCCATATACTGTGTTTCTCGCCCCGAAAAAAAGAAGTTCCGAGAGAACGGTGGAGGGAACGGTGGGCAACGATGCCGTATCCCACCATGGATCCCACCATCTTTGGCCCAGAATTGCTGTGAGGTCAGCGAGGCAGCGCCTCAAGGCACAACGCCTGGTATGCAGCCTGTTGGTGTTTCAATTTTTTCATTGGCATCGAAGATCCGTGGAAACGTGGAAACCAAGAGTGGGTTTGGTGAGACATAGCATTGACATAGTTATTTCCTGTTCCTTTTCTGTAAAGTTTCAAGGCGTTCGGAAGTTGTTCCATTCAAAGACCCAACCTTTATTGTTGTGGGACAAGAAAAATGTAGTAGAACAATGTAGAACAAGGTGCTCCCGATGTTATTTTATATCAAATATTTGCATAATCCATAGTTGCTCAATTTTTTGTTCTTTGTGGATATTCACGGGGTTGCCTTTTAAAGCTGAACCTGGGAGGCGAGCTCGAGGCCGAAGCCGCCATGGGGTCGGATTCAGCCCAGATGTGAATTGGCGTAGAAGCGCACATAACAAAGCGCCCTGTTTTACGATCCCCCTCCTTATCCCAAGTCAATCAGGGATCGAGCTGACCTGAAATCCTGACGCATATGTCCCGCATCAACCAAATACTCAACATCTCTCAACTCTGTTCAACTCGTCCCTCCTCTCACTCTAAAAACTGCATAGCGGCTCAGCACTCTGAGAGGCAATCACTCCAGCTTCATCCAGCAAACCTACTTCTTTGGCAACAAATGGTGGTGCCGCCATGTGCAGCCTGGAAGCAGCTAAGCATGGCATTGTTCCTACCCCATTCTATTGCAGAGAATTTAGCGCAGTTGACTTTTCTTCTGCCGGTGTATGCGGCGGTGTTTGCAAGGTTCCCAAGCGCGGTTTTTTGATGTGTTTGCATGTTTTTGCTGTTGTTTGTAGAAGGGACCAGATGTGATGTGTGTTTAATGTTGTTTCCAAAATACTTGCGATTTGTTTCCAAACCAGTTTACAATGGAATTTGGTGTATCTCGTCAACCTGTGGAAGGTGACTCAGTGGCATCAATGAACGGCTCCTTTGCGAGAAGGTGGGGTGGGTCACCTTATGTCACCTTTCATTCTCTGGGTGTAGAGGGCTGCTTGATGGTAGTTGATGCTGGTTGGGTCATCATGGGTCATCAGCTCAATTCATCCAATGCTTGTCCACCTGAGCCGACTGGATGAGAGGGGGCACTGGATGCAGATTGACAGATTGCTCCAGGATTCCAGCTCTGCGTGTTTGTCGTGAGGCCGCAGAGGGATGAGATTTGACTCCTTCATATTATGAATTACTGTACGGGTTTTGTATGGTTTTGTTTAATTAAAATGTGGTATTGGAATATATTGCACTGTCGGTTGCTTTAAGCGGTGGTTTTTTGTACGTCAAAGTGAAGATTTGGATCTCGGGAAGGGCTTTATTGCTTCGATCTTCCTTGTCCGCGTTGGGTAATTTTCTCCCACCTGAGAGGTGGTACATGGTGGTGCAAGATCTGTTTTTGATCTGAAACCTGGAAAACCTTCGTTGCTCCATTGTTCCATGCCCAGTCATTCGTGTGAAAACACTATATAGATTTGCCATGTTTTGCCTGATGCTTGGCCCAGAAAAACTTGACCTTTTCCGAAGTGAGGAGAACTTTGGCATTCTCCTTGAGCGGAAGTGGCACGTTGATTTGCAGGCAGCTTCCAGGAATAAGGATGGCAGAAAGCCATCGGTGCTGGGAAGGTGATGGACTGAGAATTTAATGATATTGACTTGAACAAGGTTCTATCTATTATACACTATATAAGCCTTCTATGATACATTAAGCATCATTATATAAGCCTTTTCTGCACCAACCACTCATCTCACATTATTTGACGCAAAGCCCAAAAGCTTGTCAGTTGGCTGGACAGGTTTGCACTGTGCTCCGAGAGCTGCCAGGGGCCCTGAGGTGCTTACTGTATCAAGATATGATGAAAGCCAAAGGTCAATGATGTTGCCCCGTGGCCTTGCGGTGACTCTTGGTGATGGGCCTGTGGGAAATAGTTGGGCAGATTGTCCACTGCCGCAGCATGGAGCTGGAGCATATATATATATATATACACTGTAATACATAATTATATATTCGCAAATATATATATATATAATATATATATAATATATATAATATATATAATATATATATAATATAATATATATATATATATACTATATATAATATATATATAATATATATATAATATATATATATATATATATGTGTGTGTGTTTTTTTTCCTGATCCTGTTTGCAGCGAGCAGAAACGCTGTCAGTCTCGCATGCATGGATTTATACTTGCCTCACTGTGCTGTGAAGAAACCCGGCTTTGCAACATGCTAGCCTTATCCCGTTTATGGCTGTTTTCAACCCTTAGCCCATTGATACAAGCCTGTCTTTCTTTGATGTCCTTAAAAGTGTCCTGTCAATGTTAAAACTAGCACAATGTCTTGAAGCCGCGCCTTTACTTGAGGCGAAATGTCCAAGGTCTTCGGCTTGTACGATGCAGTCTCACGGACCTTGGCCGGGCGCAGCAATTGTTTTAGTTTAATTCCTACTGGTACGTCTTTGGGCGGGGGAAATCCCAAGCGTTTTCAAACTTGTAGATCTTCATCCTTGGCTTGAAGATGAACCAACCTGTTCTTTTTTTTGGCACTAGGCATCTCGGTGCATCTCTGGCTAGCAGTAGCACGTCGAAAATTAGAAATTAGACAGTTTTGCTGCAAATTTGTCGGGGTATGTCGGGGCAATCCACAAATACGATCATTTTTTGCTGCAAGATGCATAGCATTCGGGCAGCAGCCATCCCAATTTGGCAGGACAACTGGTTGAGCCAGCTGGGTCACAGTGGCAATGGCTCGAAATGGAGCGCCATCCGGCTCTTGGATTTGAGGCCACACACCACCCCAAAATTCTCCATTTGAGTATTTTCACAGCAGCATTGGGGGCGTTTGGAGTGTCCAAAATCCCTTCCCAGCTTTGTGCAGATACAATGCCTTGACTTCCTCCAGCTGTCCGGCCCTTGCCACCGTTCGGCACCAAGGAAGGGCAGCAGCATGGCCCAGGGTTTGGGATGGGATGTTGCCTGATTTCCACAGCCCACTATGGGTTGGTCTTAGGGGGTTCTATGATGAATTACTGGAACTCCTTTCGAATATCGCTAGGGGACACATCAAATTGCAAAAGAAGCTGAAATTCACATGCCTCATCACAATTTGATGAAGGCCAAGGTTCCCCATGAAATTTGATGGTACCATCTGGTTATTTAACATAGCCATGGAAAATCACAATTTTTAATAGGTAAATCATCTATAAATGGGCCATCTATACCATGGCTATGTTAAATAACCAGATGGTAACATCATCGGTAACATCATCGGCACGGTTTTTTACGATGCTGGCTGACACTGAGGTCATCTCTGGTGGCCTCCAGGCACAGCATTGACGCATGTGACATGATCTGACCCGCCATGATCTCATGAGATACATAATATTAATATATAATGTCAACCCCGGATTAATAAACCATGGTTCATAAGATTAGGGTGGTACTCCTCCAATAGTCATTTCATCCAATACTTAAATGGCACCCCCCCAATTAAACAGCCGTTTGGAGTTTATTAATCCAGGGTTGACATTATATATATATAGGCATAATTGAGTATAAATGTCCGTATGCATTCAAGCCGTTTGGGATTCCCATCCGGGATTCTTATGAGCTTTCTAAATTAGCTGTTTCCAGGCCCTGCTGCTGGATGGGAATCGCTTGCAATCACATGGCTTTGAGGCAAGGCATATGATGCCCGAGAGATTTCTCTGGGGGACAGGCAACGGGTCCAGCAAAGGCCCAAAATCCGAAGAGTTTCAGTTTCAAACGCGGTTGGTACAGGTTTCCATGCTGGCCCTTGCATTCCGCCGAATATTGTTTCAATTGATTTCAGTGGGAAAACCCATGTGGCATCAGTGGCAACCCGTATTTCTCAGCGTGCTGGCGTGCAAGGCTTTGTGCAAGGTTATGATGGTGAGCAAGCGAGCCTTAAGGCCAGAGTTTATCATGCTTGACAGGTGGGTGGCAGATGATGGTCAGGTTTGCTTCATGTATATAATATATATATATATATATCTGTGTGCGTGTGTCGCTTATCCAATCTATCTACTACTTGGAGTACTTAAAGCATCTCAAAGCATCAATTTTGTAGTTTTCGTCCATAAATGTGCCTTGTCAAAGTGCCAATGTCTGGATCCGTATGCAAACAGCTACACAGCGGGGGCTTTACACAGACAATTCCCGCGGAAATCGCAGGCGGTTTGGGTCATGTCTTGCTTAAAGGGCTCAGAAACCGAATTCACTCAGACGTGTTGCACCCAACAAAGGTCCTTAAGGTGTCACATAGGCATCAGGGTTGAATGCAACAAGCGCATTGGTGCCAACAAATAGGTGCAGACAGTCAGACAGCATTTGCACTCAGAAATTGGTAAAGATTGCTGCTCAGTCTTTAGATGTTCATCAGGGAACTAAGATTTTGAAGTTTTTGATCCATACGCCATTTTTTGGCCAAGAGCAAATCACAAGGCCCAATGTTTACATGGCCATGGCTCGCGTGGCTGCATAGCTTCACCGCCAGCAGATGGCACGAAACGTGCTGCTGCCTTTGGTTCAGTGCTTAGGGCCTTCGTTGGCGAAACGCGTGGAGCTTAGCCATTGACTTCCTGGATTTCGGAGAAAAAAAACTGCCAAGATGGGTAGCATCCAGGGGCCGGCAGATGAACTGCCTATGCCACTGAGGTGGCTTTGGCGGGCTGAGCGTTTTCGAGCGCACCAGATCTTTGGGGAAGAGGGGTCCAGTGACTCTTCTGGCGTCATGAAAAGTTGACGATGTTGACGTGGTGATGTGGTTTGATAATATGAAATGATATGATAGGTTAGACGATATTGGAAGCATGAGTTGAGGTTTATGGCTTTGAGACTTGCATAGACTTGCATATATCAAAGCAACCCATTTCCATCCCTTTCTACAGCGTCTGATTTTGGTCGGATTTGTTTCTTGCCGTTTGTCATATTTTCTCGCACTTTCCTATGCTCGTCCTGTGAGCGTGACTTAGATGTTCTTCTAAAAGGTGACCCAGGGAATAGTTGCACCCTCGGACGAAATTTTGAATCACGTCGCTGGATGATAGTTGCGGGCTCCAAGATTTGTTTTGAAGCCTACCAGCTTCATGAATGTCAAAGGTTTAGATTCTTCCCAGGTAAAGCACGGCAATGCCTCCAAAGTCGAGGATGTGCAAACGTTGGAAGAGGACAATTTCCCAGGCGCTTGCATATGTTCTGAGTCAAGTGGCGCCGGCATACAGCTCTAGTAGTAGTTTTACTTGTAGCGGGGTCACATCTAGGTGTTTTCACACTTGAGATACAACTTTTGTTACTGAGGATCTCCAGCAACAAATCCCCTTCCCCGCCGGCCCGCTGGCTGCTGCAGTTCGGTTTGTGTTCCTTCGCTACCATGCCACCGTAAGTACAAAATTTGCAACTTTTCCGTGCGTATCACGAAAGCTAGCGGTAGCTACCTGGAGTTTACTCTTCCCCCCTCCCCACCCCAATCTCCCGGGGCATTTTGAAGCGATGTTGGAAGCAGATGGTCACGGGCTGAAATCCTGCCAGGGCTCTAGACAATCTGTATTCAGCATATCAAAATCCCATCAAAATCCCGTCATGTTTCCAGGCTCATATGAACCTTAGTTTTCGTTCACCCCCCCTTGGGCCTCAAGTCGTGTTCACCATCGTGTTTGCCTTGTGCAAGAGCAGAGCGCCAGCAACTTTGCGCTGTCAGTTGTTCTTGTCCTGGCTTAGGCAAAGGAGATAGACGCAGCGACACAGGACCACTGCTACGTACCCTCCTTTGTTTTACTGTAAATGTTTTGCAGACGAATCATATGCAATTGAGAGAGCTAAAGAGGGAAAGATATAAACCAAGAAAGATAGACTACCTGATGCTAAGATTTTTTCAAACGAATGATGCTTTCTTGCCCCCGAAACTGTGTGAATCAATGTGCTGAAGCTTGAAGCTGTCAGTCTTTGTGACTAGCGGGCCATGTGACCAGCAAGGTGTTTGTGACTAGTTTCTAGGTGAGTAAGGAATTTCCTCATAATCTTTTGGTTTCATTGCGCATGCAGTGAGGACACTGGGCCAACATGGCCTCACACTGGCGTGGCGTGAATACTGATGCCCTACCCATGGTGCCCCAGCCACGATTTGGCGCTGTGAGACGTTTCGAGCCAACAAAAAAATGAATGATATGTTGGGACCTGCGTTAGCCTGTTTATTGAGGGGTGTTTGTTAAATCCAGGAACCAATTGCTAGAATTCGGAAACCATTTGCAAAGCCCCTTTAAAAATGGAGAGACTATTTGGGACCAATTGCTAAAATTCGGGAACAGTTTGCAAAACCCCAACCAGCCAAAAAATGCAAGATTTAAGGGGAAATCAATGAAACCCGGGAATCCCTTGCAAGAGCTAATGGTGATTCAGTGATTCTAATGATGTCATTCATGTCCTCTAGATTTTGAGTAACGCAGGTCCTTAAATAAAGTTGTCAAGTACCATTCGTGCGGGGGTGGATATTCTGTAGCTATCTATCCAGATATGAGAGCGCATAGGTTTACCAACACTGCACTGGGAAACCAAAAAATGGAATTGGAAGATGTTGATGAGAACAGCCAAGCAAGATTTAGGATTGTCACCTTTTGACCTCAAGATGGTTGAAGCTATGGTCTATGGTCACATGGGGTACCAAGCAAAACGGGTTGTGATGTGGTCACGCGGGCCAAAACCTCAAAGCCTAGACAAAGATTGACATGGATGAGCGTGGCTCTCTCTCTCTCTTTTTCTCTCGAAAGCTTCCTTGTGTCGTGTAGCCTCAGCCATTCGCAGCGCCTTCCTGAAGGCCAAGTTCGAGCGAGAACAAGCAGCTGCAGCTTCCAAGGCTCCTGAGCACAAGGCAGGCATTTGGGAGGGTCGGAACATCCTGGGAAGGTCAAAGTATGCAATAAGACCAGTACTATCCAGTACTCGTAGGATGAAGAAACATCATGAAAGCCCTCGCGCGCAGGTAAAGATGAAAGGAGCATTCCGTGATCTGGCAGATGCTGACCAGAAATTGGAGACTTGGCGTTACTGCAGTTGGTTTGTTCAGGATGTTCAGGCCACAGTTGGGTATGTGACTCCAAGAGATCACGAAGCCGACTATGGTTTTGGAGGTCATGGCATGAACATGGCAAGTCAGGATTGTTATCATAACAGTAAATCATCCATTTTAATAGGATTTTCCATTATAAAACCCAGCGTGCGGCCGCCACGGCCTTGGGCGAGGACTGGATTACCCCCGCCCTCCCCCGCACCCCACCCCCCCCTCGCGGACATCCTGGCGGTTGCAAGTGCAAGACTCGGACATCCTGTTTGATCTGTCCCCATCATATTTGGATTATTGGAGAACTCACGAAGGATTGATGATTGAAAGCAAGTGCCGGAATGCAAGATCCCCAGGACTATGGGGTAAAGATTGGTGTGAAACAACCTGGTTGACTTCTGGGCCTAAGCAATGCGAGATTTGCAAAAGATGCAAAAGTAGCTCAAACCAGGGGAACTATGCAGAAATCAATCTGAAAGAATCACCAACTCAACCCAGCCTTGCACGCGCAAGAACACCTCGGCGCTCAACCCTTATGTTCAATAAGTTGGGGGATGTTTTTGCAGCTTACAGCATGTATTGAATCAGTACATCGTGTGATTTCATGAGGCTTGTGATTTATGCATTTCTTTGGGTTTGCATGATTTTGAGACATTTGGGGGGTTTCATTTTAATGGTGGTACCCCCAGTTCTCATCCATGTTATTCTCGGATTTTCCATGAAATAAACCATCCAGCTATTGGGGATCCGGGATCCCCCATTTGGATGGAAACCCTCATGGCCTGCCAAGGAGATGCCCAAGAAACAGCGGCGCATTCGCGCCAGAAAGGCGGTTGTAATCCAACCTGCTGCACGGCAACCACAGGCAACTGTTGTGCAACCCCACGGGGAGCGATAACTGACCTTTAAAACATTGAAGTCTCTCAACATGAACAAACATGAATCACTGAATCACACATATTCAAAAATTGCCCAACTGACTCACACTTCTAAAGCTAGTGATTAGTGATGTTGCATGTGTGTGTGTGTGTCTTACTTTGTTGCAGGGAAACCCTCTGTCTGTCCTTGGCATTGCCTTTGGCACTACGAGGTGGCGCAGCAACCGAAAGAGCCCCGTGAGAACCTGTTGAAGCATTTTAAGATGCTTGGCAGTTGAATTCGCGGGTCCAGGCCTGTAGTTGATGATGCTAAAACCTGGTTCCTGCAGTTCACCTGTTGCTGCATGGATAAGTAGGGGATAAAACATTATAAGACTGAAGCCAAGGTAGGAAACACGATGGAAACTGCATTTCTAAGGAAGCCGCAGGGCAGTTCATCACCTTGAGAATCAAGGAGAATCAGCACATTTCGGTTGATGAGCTGCTTCATCCTTCATACTCTTGCTAAGTTGTTTGGCTTCGTGTGAGAATGCACGTCAAATCTATCGGGGCGTTTGAACATCAAACTTGGAACCCCTTGTGTGAGGATGAGAATGGATGCAAAGTCCACGCTGCGAGGAGCTGGAGTGGTAGAACAGAAAAAGGAGCTGCAGCCAGGAGGGTCTGCGTCTTTTTTTGGACCTTCTTTCAGGCCGAACCGGGAAGGTATCAGAAGTCAATGATCCGCCACAGCAACTGCATCCTCAGGTGGCTGTCTCTGGCAGACAATGAGCTGGGCCACCCATGTGGATCTCTAGCGGCAGCCTTCGACTCAACTTTGCATTTGTGTGTGTGTGGCACGCTGGATTTTGCAATTCATAAAGTCAAAGGTGCTGTCAATTGGAGGGAACGGGGCGGAGAGTGTTTTTTCCCATGTCTCGCATGTTCAGGAGGATTGATTTGCTGTTATTTAAGGGGAGGTCATTGCCCCATCCCACCCCATTCTGAAGTATCGAGCTTGCAGTTTGGCCGGCACCGTTGTCAAGGACCTCTTTGTTCAAGGCCAAAGTTCGCTCAAGGCCGCAAGAGTCGGGAAGCACTGCACAGCACCCAGCAGTGCTGGCAGAAAATGATGCCAGCGTGTTTTCTGAGAGGGCTTGAGCTGCCAGAGTGTCCCGAGTTTACTTCAGACCTTGGTTGTGGGACTTTTTCTGGGCTAAAAAACGGATTTGGGGGCTCAAGCGCCTGTGGTAGGAACTCAGCTTGGCAGTGAATTCCATCAGCAGCGGCATGATGCCCAGTGGTTGATGGGCTCCTTGAGGATGCCTGAGGCCTGATTTATTCCGAAGACCCAGATTTCAAGTTGTGAAGGTCAGCCTTTGATATCTATGCTGCTGCAAATTCCTGTGCCAATTGGCCATGTTGATATTTGGCCAAACCTCAGATCATATCTAATCTATCTACACATCACATTGGGGTCCAACAGCTCCCAGGCCAGTATTTTTCATGACGTGTCAACCGTAAGGGTCTGAAGTCCAAGGCCATCAAAAAAGATCTTCTATCAGGACATTCAACATAGCCTAGCCGAGGCGAAATCGCTTGCTTCCTTCGCACTCTGGCCAAGCTCAGTGTCAGCGAGGCAAGATGGAATGTTGCTTGTGATGCATGAACTCATGAACACCAGCTAGAGTCTGTGACGTTTCACCACACATGGCAAACCCAACATGATCAACGAGGCGATTTTGCAAACAAGAGGTTCTGAAATCCAATAAACTGGAACTCACTTGGGTGCCCAATGATCTATGCAAGGACCTCTATATCGACTTGGCTCAGACTGCTGCACAACCTCAGGCCGGCTTCAGAGAAAAGAGATGTGCAAATGTGTTTCTTTCGCATATCCATGTGCGGGCAAAAATAAGTCTTTGAGCCCCTGACGTCACAGATTCACCATGTACATATTGAGGAAAAATAATCATAAGATTACTTACATAGTCTTACATTTGCTAGGATTGAAGTGCACACCAAAGAGGATTGGTGCGAGGGGGCCGCCAGTGCAGTTTGGCAGATGGAATTCTGTTGTGCCATTTTTTCTTCCCATTCCAACACAAACGGAATGCCCAGCGCTGGGTTCCACATGGTTCCAGACGTGCAGGCATTGCCCACTGCAGCTAAAGCGATTGCCCGCTGTCCAGGCCATTGACCAAATTGACCGTACACAATGTGTGTCCAGCTTGCACTGAAGCCTTGTCTCAGCGGGAGAAACAGCAGCTTGACAGGTTTGGTGATAAACCTCAAGGGGTGTGGGGCGGCTGAGTTCTCCGTTGACTGGCGTGGCTTGAGTTAACGGAACACATCAAAGTTAGCCTTGCTTTTTTGGAAGTGGGAGCTTGGAAGTATTTGTGAATAGGATGCTCATCGCTGCCGGAAATCTAGGATGCAGATGAGAAAAGCATCACTTGAGGCTCCATGCTGGGCAATTCGTGATTGCGGGGTGCAAATTTTGGAAAAAAAATCTGGGTGAATCCTTTTGAGACTCGGTCTGTCCGAGACCTACCCTTTCAGTCCTTCCAAAAGGACCCAGCTGTGAGAAGTTGCCCTGTGGTTGATGGCAATGAGGTATGTGTTTAATTTCAATGGGTGTTATTGACCGGTTATTGTCCATTCTAGTCCATATTGAAGGACTACCAGACTAGCAGCATCAATGAGGCCAAGCATTGGCACCTGAGCACCTTGAGGCCCAGGGTAGTGGAGTGCGCATCCAACTTGGAGCTTTTCTTCGCATGTCTTTTGCACGTCCTTATCTTTTGTCACTGCGCCAGCTGCCCACTGGTTTTTTTGTTTTTTCAAAACTCCTCTGCGAGTTGGCCGGCAACCCAATGATTGCTAATACAAAATCGGCACGATCTGACTGCCAAGTTTTGAAATCTTGGATGCACAGGCTCATCTTGACAAGTTGCCACCTGGGCGCTTGCTGCCACATCCTGAAAAGCGCGCTATGCAAATTGGAAGAAGGCACTAGAAATTGCAACTCATGAGTCTAGCTGGACTGGACCGTGTGCAAAGAGAAGGGTCGTCCGCACCCACTTTTGACATCCATATGAGCTTCCTTTGCTGAGGATATGACACGAACCCTGGAGCTGATGGAGTTCAGGGGCCACTAGATTTGATTCAAGGCAGAAAAAGATCCAGACAGCAAAACTTGAGCTCATTTGGAAAAGGAGTGCATATTAAATAGTGATAAATAATGCAAATTTGCAAAGAGCATGACAAACAATGTGAACCAAAGCAATGATAATGAAAAGGCAGTATTTGTTTCAGAAAATCTAAGTGAGTCTTATTCAGGACGAGTCATTGTTTTAGGTTACGCGGGCGTTCGGTTGTTATTTTTTGCAAACGGATCTCATGCCGCCGGGCAATAAGTACAAACTAGATAAACTAGAAGTTCCACACATCGTTGACGCTACACTACTTGAATCTTCACTTAGAAGTTCCACACATCGTTGATGCTACGCTCTTGAAGGTTCACTTAGAAGTTGCGCACATCATTCATGCTACGCTACTTGAAAGATCACTTAGAAGTAACGTACATCGTTGATGCTACGCTGCTTGAAGGTTCACTTAGAACTGCACATCGTTGATGCCACGTTAGTTGAAGGTTCACGTAGAAGATACGAGCGTAGTAGATGCTACGAGTAAAGCCTGAGTACAAGACGAAAAAGCCTGATGAAGGGACGGAAAGCTGCCACATGTCTTTAGATCTTGAGGAATCAAGTCTTGAGAACTTATAAATAATTACTAGGCTTAGCTTAATTAACCGGGATTTTAGTTCGGAAAGAATAGTAAATCCAAATTATTATGGCTCCTTTAAAATGAAATAATCAGGAATATGTATATATATTTATATATATACATATATATATATACATATTTTGGCAAGGAAAAAAAGATCAAAGATAGGAATTGATTAGCCATCATTATTAATGACAACGACAACAAACATGTGAATTTGAATTCTTTTATTTAATTTAGTTCACATTTTTTGTATTGATTTATTTAAATTTATATTATATAGGCATATATATTTATAAATAAATAATATATCCTGGACAGAAATTCCACTACAGAATGCTAGGCCTTGGGACCGACTATAAACCCTCTAAACCCTATGATTTTATAGTCCCCTGTGACGTTGTGCAGAAGCAAATCGTAGCAGTCGAGTTTTGTAAGGCAGTGAGATCCAAAAAAAATCGAGATAGCAGTTTGTAGTAAGGATTTTTGATCGATTTTTGACGAGTGATTGTTTTTTGAAAAAACACTGAATAAATACAGTAGCAACTTGTAGTGGCTTTCATGGTTTCATCACATGAAGCAACTTGAGACTTCGTATGTTTTCATGACCAATTTGTAATGAACCCGTTGTTTCACTCGGAATTGAACAAATCAATGCAGTGCACAATGCAATAGCATCGGGGTGGATATTGTGCTACAAAAAGGGTCAACACCTGCAGCGTACAATCGGGAAATTTACTCAGTAACTTGAAGCAGTTATCAGCGTTGGTTGTCAACACAAATTTGCGCACAGAATGGATTCTGCTGCAATGCTTTCTGTAGTGATTCGGCTTGTCCCATCCACTTTGTCGCAGTTTTCTTCATGTTGGTTTGTTTTGGGAGCGTTTGCAGCTGTTTTATTTTGCTGCATTGTTCTTAGAGCAAGTACATGATTTGATACAGCTTTCATTTTGCTGCCTGTTTTCAACAAGTACGTTCCTGCCTTGGGCTGGCTCTTGCTGTATTTGTTTACTGACGTGTACATTTATCAACCACTGCTGTCAACACAAATTTGCGCAAAGAATGGATTCTGCTGCAATGCTTTCTGTAGTGATTCGGCTTGTCCCATCCATTTTGTGGCAGTTTCCTTCTGCATGTTGGTTTGTTTTGGGAGCGTTTGCAGCTGTTTTATCTTGCTGCATTGTTCTTAGAGCAAGTACATAATTTGATACAGCTTTCATTTTGCTGCCTTTTTTCAACAAGTACTTTCCTGCCTTGGGCTGGCTCTTGCTGTATTTGTTTACTGACGTGTACATTTATCAACCACTGCTGTCAACACAAATTTGCGCACAGAATGGATTCTGCTGCAATGCTTTCTGTAGTGATTCGGCTTGTCCCATCCACTTTGTCGCAGTTTTCTTCATGTTGGTTTGTTTTGGGAGCGTTTGCAGCTGTTTTATTTTGCTGCATTGTTCTTAGAGCAAGTACATGATTTGATACAGCTTTCATTTTGCTGCCTGTTTTCAACAAGTACGTTCCTGCCTTGGGCTGGCTCTTGCTGTATTTGTTTACTGACGTGTACATTTATCAACCGCTGTTGTCAACACAAATTTGGACACAGAATGAATTCTGCTGCAATGCTTTCTGTAATGATTCGACTTGTACCCATCCACTTTGTAGCAGTTTTCTTTTTGTTGGTTTGTTTTGGGAGGGTTTGCAGCCGTTTTATTTTGCTGCACGGGTTTTTAGAGCAGGCACATAATTTGATACAGCTTTCATGTTGCTACCTGTTTTCAACAAGTACGTTCCTGCCTTGGGCTGGCTCTGGCTGCATTTTTTTGCTGACGTGTACATTTATCAACCACTGCTGTTAACACAAATTTGCGCACAGAATGGATTCTGCTGCAATGCTTTCTGTAGTGATTCGGCTTGTCCCATCCACTTTGTCGTAGTTTTCTTCATGTTGGTTTTTTTTGGGAGCGTTTGCAGCTGTTTTATTTTGCTGCATTATTCTTAGAGCAGGTACATAATTTGATATAGCTTTCATCCGTGAAGTGCTTTTCTTTTTCTTAGGGTTCTTTTGTTGCCTTTTTTTTCCTACTCGAGTTGGTGCCTGGAGGGGATTGAGACTAAAAGGTGTTCCACCCCTCAAAAATGCGCCTGGGAGATTGACCCGTGAGATTACGTGGAGATTGATCTATATACATTCTTGGAAGGAAGGATGTATTATGGTCACAATATGCACTACATTTTGCTACTTTTCTTAGTGACAATTTTTTAGGGGCTACAAAATAGTAGGAGCAGGGTTCCTTCGA